AGTGTTGTTTCGAATCATCCAGTACGTATGTTTATTATGCTGTATAACTTATTACTAATTTATATATATTAATTTATACTAATTGAATCTCTATTTTAGATTATTTTCATAAAGATAATTATTATCGTCGATACCTCATATCACTTTCTTTTTTGGTGACCCTGGAGAAACCCCTTATGGGACCCACAGGTCCTGGGGGGAGGCCTGTGGGTTATGTCGGACTCGCACCGACTAAAACTCCAGGGGGGTGCCTACCCGTTGGGGTAGCGAAAGGCGGCCGGGAGCACTGTGCCAACACTCCCTTCCCAAACCGCCGCCCCTTTTGACCCCAGCAAGCTGGGGCCCTTACCTGCCTTGGCTCACCACAGGACTTGTGAGGGGAGAGGAGTGGGAAGCCACGCGGCTAGACACGTGAATACGCGTGCCGCCTTGTGTGGCTTCCGAATCGCTGCTCTCAAGTCCCCCCCCCAGCCCAGGAAGGGGGAGCGAGTGAAACTGATCGAAGGTACACCCACTCAACCACCGTCCCTGGACCGGGGAGCGCCGTCCTATCGAAGGGTGCGCGGGGTAACCGGGGCCAGGTGTTGAGTTCCTCCCCTCTAATGTGGAGGGAGAGACTCCTGACCGGCCGTGCTGCAATGGCCGGGAGGGAGGGGAGGGCACCCGCCCCCCTTCCTGAGACCCCACCTCTGGTGTTCGAGGTGGGGGGTTCGGATCCGTGACCCGGGCCTCCACCCGGGTCGCAGCTTCCCTTCCCCTCCCTCTCCGCCCCATTACGGGGCTGGAGAGGGGGAGGGAACCCGAACCCCGACCGACTGGTCAGGGCCGAGGGGCACCTATTTCCCCGGACCGCGCAGCTCGCCCCGGTCCTTCTGCGGCAGTGGGGGAAGGTCCCCCTCGACGTGAAGGGGACCAGACTCCCCCTCCCCGCAGCTCGAGACCGCTGGTGGCCCCCCGTGTCGTTCAGGCGACCCGACCGCCGACACCAATCCGGCGGATTCCCGGTCCACCCGCGGGCGAGGAATCTCGCCTGCCTTCACTGTCTCTACAACCGAGACAGCGGGTTCAAACGTGCTCACGTTGGGGGGGGGCGGCCGCGACGACGCTCTTCCGAGTGTCCAGTGCCGCCCCCACTCGGTGGGGACGCGAGCACATAGGATGGTCCTGCCATCCTGTGACCCGTGCCCCTTCCTCTTTCACGGCACACGGCGCACTCCGGACGTGCTAAGCACGTCCGCGCCGTGTGCCCGCTCCGGCCACACCGGAAGCAAAAGCTGCTGCGGTCAATGGCTGCTGTGCAGCCAGCCCGGGTGTGGCGGAGGCCCCAACACCGAAAACACTGGGATGGCCGAGCCGCCAGCAATACCACGCTGACGACCGACCACCCCAGTGTAAAGCCCCCCACTCTGGCAGCTACAACCGCAGCCGCCAGAGGTAATCGGGCCCATACCGTCCCCTTTCCTCGGGCCCCCCACCTGAGGAGCCCGAGAGTGATATCCTCTGGCCGGCAGCGCAGGCTGCCGGCCAGGGTCATCTTTACCTCTTTGGGGGATGCCGCCTCGTTAACACCGCCGAGACGAACTTCCCCCTTGAGCGTGGGGCGATTTACCATCACTCCAGGCAGAGCTTCCTTCAGGCGGGCCGCTTCGCCTTTTCTCCGCCGGGGCCTTGGTTCTTCACCCGGACCAACAGGTCCCCGGGGGCTCTTCTTCCCACATCAAGGTCCGCCTCGGTGATCCGAAGATCACCGAGAGGAATCTCAGCCATTGCCCGCCTCAGGGTCTCCGCACAAGAAGACCCCGGGGCGGGACGAACCGTGACCGCGACTGTATTAGGCAGCCGCGGCCACTTCTCCTTCCTCACTGCAGGAGGCCCGGAGGGTCGTCGCGCGGTTACCCGTACCGACACCGGAACCTCCCGCAGTGGTCTCCCCTTCCCTTCTCCAGCAACTGGGGGGAGGAGCCGGGGTCGGGACGGCGGAAACCCGTCGCCCCTCCCGGCCTCCCTCCCAATCCACTTTCCTCTGCCTTTTCTTCCCCACCACAGTAGACCAGACTGTAGTGGGGGGTACCAGCTCTTCTCCTTTATCCACCTCCATGGAGGGGGGTGGAGATATTTTTCCCCCCACCTAGCAGACGTCTCCGTCTGCGTGGAGATCTCCCCCCTCCCCCCTTGCCTCTCCTCTTCCATCCTCTCGAACCTTCTCAGCTCCAAGAGCTGATCCTCCAGCTCCTTGATTCTACCCCCATTGTCTTTCCTTTCGGAGCACCTCCTTCCTTTCCCTTCTTTCCCTCTGGAAGGCAGCCTCCCTCTTGGCTTTATCCTTCCGGAGGGACTTCAGTTCCATCTCCCATACATCCATCGTCTCACATAATTCTATCCTGCCGGTCTGACTTATAGCCAGTTTGCACTGCACCTTCACCTTCTCATCCTACAGCGTGGCAGCTGCCACCACCAACCGCTGGGCATAATAAAAGGTGGATTTGAACACCTCGTTCAGTTTGCTTTTTTGTAAATTACCTAGACTGCGATTCCCTGCCCATTCGTTCATCTGTCCTTGGATGAACTTCTTCTAATCCCCCCAAACCTTTGCAGAGTGAAGGAGGCTTCTCCTCCACTCCTCCCATCCTCGCTTTTTCGGCATCCGCCGCTCTCATGCTGGCCTGAAGAACCTTGGCCAGCGTTCCTAAAATCCTCCCAGAGTCCCCTTTGCTGGAACTCCCAGCATCGGAGACTCCAGAGGAATCCCTCCCCTTCCTCCTCTTACTCTTTTGTTTTGAATCTGCCATTTCATTTTACACCCACTACTCCTGGCGGCTCGACCGGCCGGGCGTGCCCGCACCACGGAAGAATTCCGTAGTGTCCCCTAGTTCCCCCAGGGAACCGGTCTATATCACTGGCCCGGGGGGAGGACATCCCGGGCATTGGACTTCAGCCCCCTACTCCCGCCCTACCTCCCATTGCTGGGAGGTGAGCCGGTTTCAGGGTTCCCCAGTCTCCGATACCTGGGGCACCGCCAGGAGTGCCGCCACGCGGGGGGCCCCGTGGAAGGAGTGAGGTCACCGCCGTCGCGACTCGACGGGACCCCTCCCCCACGTCAGCAATGCTCCACCACCCGGAGGATGGGTTTAGGGATGACACGAACCCCATCCCCCGTGCTCACCCCTGGGGGACCCGGTCCCGACCTCGGGATACGTCCGAGCAGCCCAGATCCCCCTCGCCGCCCCGGGTACCGTGAGGGTCCCAAACCTCACGGTGTACAGACCCGGATGTGGCCCGTCCCTTCGGGCTGCCGGAGCACCGGCGTACAATGCCCTAGGGGACGGAAACCTCCCACGGGGTGAAGTCCTGTCCCTCCGGAGCACCGGCGTGCAATGTCGGAGGGGCGGTGTCTCCACTCTTACTGTCCAGAAAATGGTCGAGGGTGGCCAACTGACCACCCCGCCATAACATCCCTGGGTGCTCTTAGTCCAGTCCCTCCGTGCAGACCACTCCGGCATGGTAGAACCTGTCAGGGGCCGAAGCCCCCGCCGGCACAGCTCTGCACTTCATCGAGAGCTTCAAGCCTACCCACCACGACAAGGTGGCACCCGCGGGGAGGGAAAGAAGAGGACACTTTTTTGGTCCCCTTCCCCACCCGATGACCAGTAACCTAGCACAATCAACGGCTATCCATTCCGGAAGAGCCCCAATGCTCGACGACCTTTGCCTGACGCATTAGGTCGCCCGCCACCTGCGGGTTCCCCGTTACCAACTATCTCCAGCCGCCGAACACCAAGGTACTCCCTCCCGGATGGACCACCCCCGAGTGTGTGCTCTAGACTTCCCGGACACCAGGTGTTGCGCCGATAATTGCATGGGGGATGGACCTCGTCTATCCCGCATGCAACCCCGACGCCTTCAAAACACGCCTTCCAGCGTACCAGACAGACTGCTCCTAGATTCGGTATCGTGTGAGCGTATACACCACCTGCTGGATCTTCCAAGGCGCAGGGTCAGGCAAGCCCTCCATTTTCTGCGATGGTCGCCACCTTGTCGTAGTGCAGAAGCTTGACAGCCACAATAATCCAAGGGGATGGACTCAACTTGGAATCTTAGGATTTCAAGTTCGAGGGTGAACCGAGGAGAGTGGCTACTAAGAGCGACCAATACATGCTCCGAGATGGGCAGCTGCCTCTCGAAGCATTAAGGGACCTGAGGGCTGCTCTAGAGTGGCATTAAGGACCCTTTGCTAGTGTCTTTGCTAGTGTCCATCTTTGACGCGCGCTCAAACAAAACTGAGTCAACTAATCACAAAACTGTCAGAAAAGTTTTTTTAGTACGAAATCTCATCTTTCTAACGCCATCTAGTGGAACCCGATCGGACTTATACAACGCGAGATACAGATAACTAAAGCCATCTATTGGAAAAATAATGGATTTCTTTTTACTACACCTGATATGTAACCTAAATAATATTTTGATTCATTTACAGATTCTGAAACTTTTCATCGATTTGTTATTGGAAAACTGGTAAATATAGAAATGAAAATAAATATAATCGAAACAAATCAAAAGCTTATTTTACAAAAATTGTTAGTTAGTGATACTGTGTGTTCAGAAGAAAAAGACAATATCGATATTTTCCAAGATTTACCACTCAAAACTGAAAAAGAACTTGAAGCTGTAGAAACAAAATTAAATAATGACAAAATATAGGAAACATGGTAAGTTATATCTCTCTCTTACAAAAATATTTTGCCATTTTTATCCTCACTTGTCCACTTTAGTTCGTTTTTAGCGCGTATATCCATTTATAGGTCGTTATATATAATAGGTCGTAAAGAGACACTTTTACATGTCAGTTAACACGTTCCTCTTTTATTTATTTTCGAGCATCACTAATTCTATATAAAATAATGTATTTGAATGTTAACACGATTTCATGGCAGATTGGCAACAGGTAACCCACAGGTCCTGCGCGCGGTAAGGTCTTCTCGATTTTTGTCACCAAACTGCTATCAGATCACTACAGACACTGTTTCTGCTGCAAATCTGCTAATATTGCCTGTCAGCAGGCACTGTGACATATTTAGCACCAGTGTGACAACATATTTTTATATAACAGATCCTGCATCAAATGTTTTGCCACGTTACCATAAAAAATCAGTAATAAGCTTTTCTCGAGATTTATTTATGCAGGTCTGGCTATTTGGCTTTTTACTCATAATTTCTTTTACGTAAATTTGACAGTTATATTTTAATTGTTGAAATAAAAGAAAGGCATTCGGATATTTTTCAACGTGTGCTGTATAAGTCACAAGTGTCATTTTATACATATATTTTTAGTATTTCTACTTATAACACGGTATATTAACCGTCAAACACTACACTCGTGCGAATTCGTACCAGCAACAATTTGTTTCGTTTGTAAATCACTTGACTGTGTGAATGGTTTTGAAAATAGAAGTTCAAATTTATACGTTAAAACTACTTTTATTTTCCCAAAGCTATTATTCGTCAAAACTTAATGAAAACTTAAAATCCCAAAACGCACTAGTATAATGTTTGCGTAGATCTAGGTTATGTGTGATATTTGGGGATTAAATTTATTTTATTTCCTCTTTTCTCATATTATCAAACTAATAATAAATAATAGTAAATATTACATGTTATCAAATAATGACTGTTACAGCGAGGACATAAAAGCTTTAACAGTATAATTATATTTCAGATTAAGCAATTGGCCCGAATTGTATGCCAAGATATTAAAATATCGTGCGTTTGACTTATGAGGCAAATTTTTTCAAATGAATTAGCCATGAAATATAGTTGGGTTGGAGCGAAGAAGAAAGAGATCTTTTCGGACTTAAGATTATGTAAGATACTTATGCGTAAATAAAATAAATTCTTAATTTTTATTTATTTCATGGCATTAAATATCTTTATACTAATGAAAATAGATATACAGAATGTCCCAAAAGTAACAGATCACCTTAATAACTCTTCGGTACTGAAGTTTCAAGGAAAATGATCTGAATAAAAGTTGTAGGGATTTAAGTGAGCTATATTATGATGACCTTGACATTGACCTTGACCTCTATTTTCAAGATCATTTAAAGGTCAACTTCCGTTTTTTAAATGGAAACTTTTGTTTTTTATTACACTGTTTGCTACTAATTAATTTGAACAACTTTTGTCTAAAACACTTTTTTATTTCTTCTGAACACACAGTATCAGTAACTAACAATTTCTGTAAAATAAGCTTTTGATTTGTTTTGATTATATTTATTTTCATTTCTATATTTACCAGATTTCCAATAACAAATCGATGAAAAGTTTCAGAATCTGTAAATGAATCAAAATATTATTTAGGTTACATATTATTTTAGTTACATAAGAGATTACATAAAAATAAATAAAATGATTACGAGCAAATTTCCCAGTCATTTACCCAGTGATATGAGGTGTCGACGATAATAATTATCTTCAATACTTTAATTTAATAATTATCTTTAATATGAAAATAATCTAAAATAGAGATTCAATTAGTATAAATTAATATATATGAATTAGTAATTATACAGGGTGCACGATTTATATGAAGACATTGAAATATCTCGAGAACTATGCATTGGATAAAAAAAGTGGTTAATGAAAGTTGTTAGTCTCCAAGGGGGACATCCAATGATACCAAACTCGACCTCCCACCCCACCCCCTGGGGGTGGAGGTTGGGGGCAAATTTGAAATCTTAAATGGAAACCCCCATTTTTTATTGTAGATACGGATTCTACGCCACAAAATACGTAAATTTTGTCCGAAACTTTTTTTTTATTCGTGATAGATGGCGCTGTAATCGCAAAAAATTATATTTTCCACAATTCTCCAGAAATGATCATTGGATTGAGAAATAAAAAATACCTGTTCAATATTTTTAAAGAACATAATAAAAGTTATTCCCCCCCATCCTCTCGGAGTAGGGTAGGTGATAACGTTCAAATCTCAAATGGGGACCCACATTTTTCATTGCAGAATTAGATTGTACGTGAAATTTTTATTGAAACAATTTTTTTCACTCGTGATAGATAGCGTTGAATTTTTCCGAGAAACTACTTTTAGCGTTACACAGGAACAACGACGAGGACGTAGTAATTTTATGTTTCGTTCGGGTGCTTCTTTAATGTGAGTTCCCTTGCCTCTCACAGATCGGGGTACTTTTTTAATGTGAGTCCCCTTGCCTCTCACTGTTCAATTAATTAGAGTAAGTGTTCGAAATTTTCACCTTCAACTTCAATACACTTATTGATCCTTTTTTCAAATGACTGTACACAGGATAGAAGCATATTTGCGGGAGTTTCAGCGCAAGCGTTTCTTATGCGTTCGACCATGTTTTCACGAGTTGTTGGCACTTGTTGATAAACCTTATCTTTTAGGTAAACCCACAGAAAGAAATCCGGCGATGTCAAATCAGGCGACCTAGTAGGCCAATTAATCGGGCCACCTCTGCCAATCCACCGACCATTGTAATCACGGTCTAATACTTCCCGTGCTGCTATTGAGTTATGCGCTGGGCAACCGTCATGCTGAAACCACATACTTTGTCGAACGTCCAAGGCAACATCATCAAGTAGTGGTGGTAGTTCCTGTTCCAGGAAATTTCGATATTTGATTCCATTCAAATTACCTTTAATAAAATAAGGACCAATGAGTCTGTTCCCTATGATTCCACACTAAACGTTAACCGACCACGGACGTTGATGTTCAACTTGTCGTAACCAATGGGGATTTTCTACACTCCAGTAATGCATGTTATGTCGATTAACGCCACCATGGTTTGTGAATATAGACTCATCTGAAAATAGTACAGTAGCAATGAAATTGAGGTTCGTTTGCATTTATTGAAGTGCCCATTCACAAAACACCACTCGATTATGAAAATCATCGCCATGGAGTTCTTGATGCAGTGAAATGTGATATGGGTGATACTTATGACGATGCAATATTCTGCGAATACTTTTTTTTTTTTTTTTTTGACGAGGAGGAAATCCATCATGGATACCCTGACCCTCGGAGAAGGACCAGGGTTATGCCGGACTCCTACCGGCTAAAACCTCCCCGGGTGGCGCTGCGAAGGGACTTGGGTCGGGGCCCCGGTGCCGCGTAACTGCTAATCGGGGCCCCGAGTCCAGGTTTGCACCTTCTGTCCCTGAGGGGCGGGGCGGGGGAGGGGGGAAGCCGACCCGAGGGTCCGCTTCGACCACCGCTCCCCCAGGGGAAGGGGGAAGCCGGCCCGAAGGCCCGCTTCGACCACCGTTCCCCTTTCCCACCCCTCACGCCTCGTCTCTTCGGTCGGGAAGGGGGAAGCCGGCCGAGGCCCGCTTCATCACCGTTCCCGACCAGACGAGGCGCCGCCAATACACGTTGTGTGGCTGACTGACCCACCGTATCAGCCAGCCACCCTACGTTGGGAGGGTTGGCTGGGGCACCGGGAGTCCTCGCCCGGTGCCCCACCCTCCTGCCCGGCGGTTGCGGGGAGATATACTCCCCTAGCCGCCGGGCTCTCCCCACCTCCGCAGAGGAATGGGGGGGGTCCTAATGACCCCCCTCCCGCATGTCCGATTAGTCTATCGGACCTGCGATTGAGGGGGGGAGGGGCATTTATTCCGATGGTTCGTTGCCATCGATGCCCTCTCTCCCCCTTATTATCATCCGACACCCTTCTTCTTCGAGGGAGTCGGTGGTCTGCGGGCGTGGGGTCTGGGCCTAAGCCTCGACCCCCATCCGCTCCCATCACCCGTTGCTGCTATTGGCAGGGCAGCAGGGGGTGGCGGCGGCGGTGGTGCCACATCCACCCCAACTGCCGGGGCGGTCAGCATTGCAGCCGCCACCATCAGCGGAGCGAGCCTACGCAGCACCACCACCGCCACCCCTCTGTCTCTCAAGAGGGCTCCCAATTGCCCCCTCCATGTCGTTCCTCTCGTCCTTCCTCTCGCTCTCCTTATTGGAGGAGGAGCAGGAGGGTGAGGAGGAGGCGGAGGTGGTAGCTGAGCCCCTAACCTCCGAAGTTCCTCCTCCTCCGAGGAGTCTGCGTCCCCCTCTCTGCTCCTGCTCCTCCCTCCCCTCCACTGACGGTGGCGGTCCCTCCGTCTTTTCCGCATTCCTCTGCCTTCTGCTCTCCTCCTTTCTTCCTCGGCCTCCTCCTTCCGCTTCATCACCCCCTCGCAGAAGGAGGTGAAAGCCTCCCACTTCTTTTCGCTCCCCAGTATCGCCCGGACTATACTGGGGAGCGAAAGGTCGCAACCTAACTCTCTCTCCACGACTCCGCGCTCGTTGCTCCAGGCCGGGCATTCCTGGAGCGTGTGCTGCGCGGAGTCGTGGCCATGCCCGCAGTGGTGGCAGGCGGCTGTGCGCTCCTTTCCTATGCGGCACAGGTACTCACCGAAGCAGCCATGCCCGGTGAGCACCTGCGCCGCCCTGAAAGTCAGGGCCCCATGGGCCCTTCCCACCCACTCGAGCAGGAAGGGCCGGACGGCCTCGACGGTCCTCCTCCCGTACCTGGCATTGGCCAGATACCTCTGCCATCTTTCGAGGAGGATCCGTCGAGTCTGGTGCTTCATTTCCCTTATTGTCCTGGCGAGCGGTACGTCCGCCCCCCCTGTTCTTAGGAGCTCGCGCTTCCTGTCGTACATGCGTTTGTACGACAGGGCCACGAGCTCCATAGGGGGCATGCTCGCCAGGACTGTCGCCACCACGCAGGAGACGGTCCGGTAGCATCTCGCTACCCTGACCGCCAGTCCCCTTTGCACTCTGCGCAACCGCGCTTGCATCGGGCGACTGGCGGCCAGCGACTCGGCCCACACCGGTGCTCCGTACATGGCCACCGAATTCAATACTTCTGCGTGGAGGCGACGTGCCTTCATGTCTGGCCCCCCGACATTGGGCATTAACCTGCCCAGGTTGATGGAAACCATCCTGAGTCGGGGGACCAGCCTATTAAGGTGTTCTCTGAAGCACCAGGTGCCGTCCAGGGTGAGGCCCAGATACTTCATCTGGGCCTCTATGGGGACCCTGACTTGTCCAATCCTGATATGGGCCTGGGGTGGCTTCATGCCCCTTACGTGGAGGAAGATCGCCTCCGTCTTCCTTTCAGCCACCACCAGGCCCAAGTTGCGGATGGAGCGCACAACCGCCGCCACCGCTAGGTTCGCCGTGTGTACGGCTTCCCCCCAGTCTCTCCCCCCGGCCAGGACGAGCGTATCGTCTGCGTAACACAAAGTGCTACAGCCGGGGGGGAGGGCTGTCCGGAGGACTGAGTCGTATCCAATGTTCCACAGTAGGGGCCCCAACGCCGATCCCTGTGGGACCCACGACTCATCCCCCTCTCTCGTACCGTGCCATCGGCGTCCGTCCACATGAGACGCCGACCCCGGAAGTAGTCCTCCACGACGGTCGTGAGGTAGGGTGGGAAGCGGAAATAGCTTCTCATCGCCTGCACCACCCTACCCCAGGGCAGGGTGTTAAACGCATTTGCGATATCTAATGATATCGCGACTGCCACCCTGCCCTCCGACACTATGGCCCCCGAGAGGGACTTCAGATGCAGTACCGCATCCACAGTCGATCTGCCCTCTCGGAAGCCATATTGGCCGTCGCCTAAATCAGGACCCTCCCGGGATATGCCTCTTGAGGCGGGCCGCTATTATGCGCTCGAAGAGCTTGCCCGCCTCATCCAGGAGGCATATGGGCCGGTACGCGGAGGGGGAATCCTCCGGTTTGCCCTCTTTTCGGAGGAGGACCACGTTGGCCCTCCCCCAGATCGGGGGGAATTTCCGCTCCCTAAGCGCCCTCGTAAAGAGGTGCGCGAACCTGGCGCTCATATACCCTGAAGCCAGGGTGAGGACACGGCCGGGGATACCATCGAGTCCCGGAGCTTTCCTGCTCTTGACCCGCCTGGTAGCCTCGGCCACCTCCTCCTCGGTGACTTCCGGAACCTCCCCCTGATGTTCGGGGGATGGGGTTACATACGGGGTGATGGGGTTGTTCCCCCCAACCGGGAATAGGGTCCCCATCACCCGTCCCAGGAACCGGGAGTCGAGCGTCTCCGTCAAAGGGGGCGCCCATGGTCTCAGCTTTTGCATGACCATCCTGTATGGGCGCCCCCACGGATCCGCGTCTAGCGAAAGGAGGAGGTCGTCCCACTCCTTTCCTCTGGCCACCCCTATGGCGTTCCGGAGTTCTTTCGCGGCTGCGCAGAACTCCCGCCGGGCGGCCAGAGTGACCTCAGGGTCCGCGTCCCTACGCACTGCTCGGAACGCGCGCCTGAGGTGGACCGACCTCCGCCGCAACGCGGCAATTTGGTCGGTCCACCACCAGGCGCATCGTTTTGGGCAGGCCCTGACTCTGGGCATGGAGGCATCACACGCGAGTGCGAGAACCTGCATAACCTCCATGACCTCAGAGTCAAGGTCCTGCCCGTCCTTCCATTGTGGCCAGGTGGAGCCCATGAGGGAGATCTCAAGGTCTTCCCTGTTTAACTGGGCTAGTGCCCATCTACCGGGCCGGGGTCCGTCCGTATTGCGGGGCCGTAGGCCATCGGGAGTGACGGAGAGCTCCATCTCTATTATGAGATGGTCAGACAGTGATTCTAGCTCTTCCGCCACCCTCCAGGTCCGCACCCTTCGCAGGGCCGAGGGGGTTGCCCAAGACAGGTCGATAATAGACTCCCCCCTCGACCCCACGAACGTAGATTTTTTTCCATCATTCATAATGTGCAGACCTAGGCCCACGGCCCAATCCGCTGTTACCTCCCCCCTCCTGTCATCGCGCCGGGAGCCCCATAGCTCCGACTTGGCGTTAAAATCGCCGGCGACGATGACAGGACCCGGGAGATGTCTCTTGATGACATCTCCCATTTCTTGGAGCCTGGACTTGTACTCAACCAAGCCCAGGCTCTTTTCTGGGGGGAGGTACACCCCGACCACGGTGACGACTCCCCACCTGGCCACAACGAAACCCCTACCGCGATCCACGTATTTCGCGGGGGGTGAGTTATTACTCGCCTTCCAAACTATAGCGACAGAGCCCCCTTCGTCCCCGAACCATCTATGGTTCCTGGGGACATGATGGGGCTCTGCCGCTATACCCAATCCTGCACCGCGCTCCGTCATCGTGTGCTAAAACAAAGGGAGCGCTTGACGGGCGCGGTGCAGGTTCCCTTATAACAGTTTAGTGTCCATTATCTTGTTCAGTTATAATGACAATCTTCTCTCCCGGCTGTTCGCCGTCGGTGTCCTCATTTTCTATTTGTCTTGCTCGTTTCTCTCCTCTCTTCTCCTCCACCTCCATCTTCCCATCATCAGTGGGGGGCTGAGGGGGAGGTGGAAGAGGGAGGGAGGTTCTTCTCCTCCTTTGAGGAAGCGGGGGTTGGGGTTCCGGCTCCCGGTTTACCCCCCCCTTCGCCTCCTTTCCTTCCTCGGTCTCTCTCCTCCTCTCCTCTGGGGATGCGGGAGGGTCTCGTGGCGGCGGTGCGGTCGCCATACCCCCTTCCACCGCATCCCCAGAGATTTTCTTCTTTCCCTTGGGGGAACGGCAGGATGGTCCCCCCATTCTATGTCCTGATTTGACACCGGCCTCCTCACAGATTTGACACCTGGCTCTTGAACTACAGTCCCGAGCCAGGTGTCCGGGTTCTCCGCATCTATAACAGTTGGCTCTTCTATCGCTGTTACTTGTGCAATTAATCTGCACGTGCCCTCTTTCCAAGCATTTAAAACATTGAAGGGCCCTTGCCTGTAGAAGTTCTACTTTGGCCTGCGTCCAACCTATTTTAATGTTGCCTAATTCGGCAACTTTCTTCGCCGCCGCGAGGGGGCATTGTACCCATAGCGTTCTATATCTATTCCACGCCTCCCTCATTTTCCCGGTCTTGACCTCTCCTACTCTACATCCTCCCACTCTCGCCACTACCTCCGCTGCTTCACTCTCCGTGGTTGAAATCTCCATCCCTTTAATTCGCAGCTCTCCCATCTTTTGCGGCCTACTGACTTTGGCTCTGTCAGTCAAAACCTCCTTTAGTTTTTCCGCCAGTAAGTCCGCCTGCTTTCCCCTTTCCTCTCCCGGTATCTCGAGTATCAGGGCTCCGGTAGCCCCCATTCTGGTCTTGATCTTTTCGATCCCAATTCCGGTTAGATCGATTTTCCTTTTCGCCTCCGCTAAAAGGTCTTTGTATTGTCCCCGTTCAGCGGTTACTGTTACCGCTGCGGTATTGGGGACTCTTCTCTTCACCTTTTTCTCCTCCTTCTTTTCTATTTTAACCATTTTTCTTATTTCCTGCCTTTTCTTTTCTTCTTTCTCTTTCTTCTTCTCTCTCCTACCTATTACCTTGGACCACTTTTCTCCCTGTGATGTGGGTGCTCCCTCCTTTTCAATTTGCTCTTGATGCTCTCTCCTTTGTGCTCTTGTGGATGGCAACTGAGGGTACTCCTGCATGTATTTGTTTCCTTCGTGTGGTACCGACTCTTTCTCCATTTCTTTTCCTTTACTTTCTTTGTTGCCCTTCCTGGCCCCTCGTTTGGGAGTTTCCTTCTCTTGCGATGACCATTTATTTAGGGCTTTAAACACCATTTTGGATACTTCCTCTTCTAGCCCTTTCTTCGTTGGCTCTTCCTTCTTCCTTTCTAGCCTTACTTTTTTGTTAAGTAGGATATCCTCCCTAATTTTGGGGCCTGTCTCTGCTGCTTTTGCGACCCTGGCTTCCTTTATCGGGCGTCTCTTTTCTCTCGGGATCAATCCTTTCCGGACTTCTATTACTCCAACTGGGATCTCCTCTTCCTCCATCATGTCCACCATAGGTGGGGTGATCGCCCTTTCCTTCTCTACGCGGACCAGGGGCGAGGGAGCACCCGCCATGTGTAGTTGTGCTTTCTTTAAACTCTGGTCCGCGTTTCCTGGCTGCTTCGAGGGCGGGGAGGATACCGCTACTTGCAGCGGTGCCTCCCTTATACCTCGAAGCATTTCCTTTACCTCCTCTAATTCTTTTCTGACCTCCTTCAGCGACGTCTTCAGACCTACATTTTCCGTCCGCAGTTCTTCTATTAGGTCCAGATTGCATCCGCATTTGTCCTGTGCCATTTGCGTGGCCAGGACATTTGCTCCTGCTGTTATGGCTGCGGCAGCGTTTCTCAGGACCTTTACATGGGTTCCCTTTAGGCTTTTCGACTTCTGCGAAAAACCGAGGACTTTGGCAGACGCTTCCAGAATTGTCGCCGTTATGTCACGGAAGGGAGCCTCCTCCAGGTGTTCCGTCAGCCTTGTAATCTCCGCCTTGTATTTCCTGTTGGAAGTGCAATCTTGAAACTCCTCCATAGGATTCTCTAATCCTTTCAGAAGAGTTTCCTGTCTTTTTGCTCCATTATGGCAAGTTTCCTTGCCATAAACTCCTTCTTGAGGCGGTATTCCCCGGTAGTTTCTCTCCTACCCCTACCTCTGATGGCCTTTTCTACTAGACGCTCCTCGTCCGTATTGCCATCCTCGTCTCTGGGGATTTCCCACTTCCCTTCCTTTTTTATGGTGACTTCATCACCGTCATCGGAATCCTCTTCCTTTGAGGTGGCGAATGGCGTTGAGTCGTCGACCTTGATGGGCGATCGAGATCTGTCGCTATTGTCGGTCTCTTCCGCCTTCTTCGTCTCTATGAGCTTTGCGCTCCTGAGTCTCTCCCTCCTAACCGTTACCTGGCTTTTGCCAGGTTGGCTTCTCATGTCCTTTAGTCTAGCCTGGGTCGTCTTAATTACTTCCGAATCCGATGTGTCATAGTTTGAGGAGGTTAAAAAATCAGTCATTGTGGTTTGAACCCCACAACTCTGCACGGCTCCGGTGCCCGGGCACGCCCGCATCCCCCCGGAAAGGGAGAACCTCCGAGTTCCCCCGGAGGAGCACCATATGGCACGGGCTGACGGAATGTATCATCGTC